CTGCAGCCTGCTCCACCTGCCGTAAAAAGTCGTCAGCGGGGGGCAGCACGCGTGGCCCGATCGCTGAGGTCCTGCACGCTGCCTCCAGAGTGACCATGCAGATGCCTAGCTGGGAGCACAGCTGAGACAACTCCCTGTGGAGGGCGCCTAGCGACGGCCTGGCCTGTCGGCACTTCTGCTACCATGCTGCCCCCCTCTAACGACTTGTTGTGGCAGCAAAGACGCGTATCATCACGATGCTGGCGATGTCTTCGAAAGTGCTGTGCCCGTGGCAGTGCCAGCAAGCTGGAGACGTGGCTGGATTCGTGTGCGGAACGTCCGCGGGCCACGCGCTGCGTACGCATTCGGACGGGACGGCGCACCCGCCGGGCAGGGCCCAGCGCCTGACGGGCGTGCTGCCGCGCGTGGTACCCAGCTCCTGCCCAGGCCAGCCACGCAGCGTGCACCCGGCCACCCGTCGGCGGCGCGCACACCAGAGGTAGGGGGAGGGGGCAAGGGATCTTAGAAGGAGGCTGCTTCGTGGAAGTCGCCGGCCCCACATCCACAGACAGGGCCCGCGCCGTCTAAGAAGCAGGGGTGCTTCTAAGGAGCCTTCCCCCCTCCCCCATGCCCCCCTTCTGCGCGTGGCCGAGCCTGGTATGACGATGAAGCTGATGGCGACGTTTTCGACAGTGTGGCTACCATGGCGACAGAATAACGCGCCTGTGTTTGTGGGTGGGGGTGGGGGCACCGTTTCCGCCACGGCAACTCTTGGGGGCCTGAAACTTGAAAATTGGCACCGACACCAGCACTGGGGGGTGCCTCCAATGGGGGGAGATGATGCTGGATGTTAGTGCTGGTGGTGATCTCTCAGACACCTAGGCTTAAGTCGGGCGTCTCCCCCTACAGAAGGATTTTCGACGAAAAAAAAGTTCAACAATTACTCAAAAATAGTCAAAATAGTGTTCTTTGAAAAAGTCTGGGGACTAGTTTGTTATACGTTTTTTTGAGCATTTGGGGAATATTGTTTGCATGTTTTTTATGCTTCGTCCAAAATCCCCCTGTATGGGGGACAGGCCCGACGTAAACCTAGGCAGCCTGAAGTGTACCGTCATCATCGAGATCCGAATCATCTTCCCTCGGTGGAGGCAACCGCCGACTCTGGTGCTGGTGCCAACCCTCTACGGTCGGGAACCTCTGCTTGGCGTGCCGCGCCTCGCCCCGCTCCGCGGGGCGGGAGGCTCGGGGCAGGCTCTCGGGACGTCGACGCCCAGGGACGGGGACGTGGACAGCGCGCCGCGCCAGGGCGCGGTGGGCCAGAAGAGGCGGAGCGACCCACTGGGCCAGAGTTCCCGACCTCGGCGCTCACGCCGCCGCGCCCGCCCTCCGGCGCCGCTTCGCCGCGCGCGGCCGCGAGGCGGAGCTCCGCGAGGAGGCGCCCCCCACGGAGCTCCGCGGGGAGGCGCTCCCCGCGGAGGTCGAGGACGACCCCGAGGACGACCAGGTCGCCTCCGAGGGCGCGCCCTCGGCGCAGGTGCCGGTGGCCGCCGCGGGGGGCCCGCCGCCGCCGCGTGCGGCGGCTGCGGCGCGGGGCCACCGCCGCGCCAGCAGGCGCCGCGCGAAGCGGCGCCGGCGCAGGAGCACGGCGCTGAAGGCCTCGACGGCTCCGGCGGCGGCCGCGCAGGGCGCGGAGCCGGCCCGGCAGGCGTGGACCGTGTCGGCGAGGTCCTCGAGGAGCTGGCGCGGCGGCGGCTCC